CCTGTCTGGGACTGAGAGAGAGAGAGAGAGGGGGGGAGAGTGAGAGAGAGAGAGAGGGAGAGAGAGGGAGAGAGAGGGAGAAGGAGGGAGAGAGGGAGGGAGGGAGAGAGGGAGGGAGGGAGGGAGGGAGGGAGGGAGGGAGGGAGGGAGGGAGGGAGCTTAGGTCATATATCAAGACCCTGTCAGAAAGAAAAAAGTGGGCTATTGTTTGGCTGGGTGGCTGGGTGAGTTACAAGCAGCTGATAGGTGGATGGAGGTTGTGATGGGTGACTAGACACGTGGATAATGGTTGGATGTACAGGTGTGTACAGACGGAAGCAGTGTCAGTAGAGGTTTTCAGGGTCACCACAGGTCTTATTTAAAGCTAACATATTTACATCAATAGCTTTGATGTCCAGAATAGCACAGTTTAGTAAGAGTTCATTCTCTGGAATTACACAAAAGTGGATTTGGAACATGACATCACCCTACCAGTGGCTGCTGGAGACAAAGTACTTCCTTCCTTCCTTCCTTCCTTCCTTCCTTCCTTCCTTCCTTCCTTCCTTCCTATCTTTCTCTCTCTCTTTCTCTTTTTAAAATTTTTATGTAGCCCTGGTTGTTCTGAACTTGCTATGTAGATCAGACTGGCCTCAAACTCACAGAGATCCACCTGCCTTTGCCTCTCAAGTGCTGGATTAAAGGCAGGATGTTAGCTTCCTAACTGTTAAAAGGAAAGGCCCGCTCTAGCCTCTACCTCCTCAGAGTTAGAGTAGGGGTTGAAGAAATAAAGAGGGTTGGTTCTTAGCATGATGCTTGGTGCACGTAAGTTAACATCAGTGATCCTATCAAGCATTGAGACCTCCTGCATGATGGATGCCCACAGGCTGTAGAAAGTGGACGCCAGGCTGCCGCCAGATACGCAAATGACATGATGATAGTGTCTGAAGACTATCATGTTAATGGGGTGTATGGGTAACCTCTAGGCAGTAGGTAAAGTGGGACAATAAAGGGACAAAACAAAGTTAGACACTGCATTCATGAAGAGCTGTCCAAGCCAGGTGTGCTGGCTTGTGGTGGTAATCCTGGGACCTGGGATGTAGACACAGGAGGATCAAGGCTTCAAGATCATCCTCTGCTATACAGCAAGTCTGGGGCTAGCCTGTGCTACATGAGACTCTCAGAGAGAGAGAGAGAGAGAGAGAGAGAGAGAGAGTTGTCTAGAGATAGTTCAAGTCTGCAATAAAGCAAGAGGATTGCCATGAATTAAAGGCTATGCTAGACTACATGGTAAGTTCTAGGCCAGCCTGGGCTATAGAGTAAGACACAAGAAATGAGGTTCAGAAGGCCCGAAAGGCTAACCTTTTTTTTTTTTTTTTTTGGTTTTTCGAGACAGGGTTTCTCTGTGGCTTTGGAGGCTGTCCTGGAACTCACTTGGTAGTCCAGGCTGGTCTCGAATTCACAGAGATCCGCCTGCCTCTGCCTCCCGAGTGCTGGGATTAAAGGCGTGTGCCACCAACACCCGGCCCGAAAGGCTAACCTTTGTTCTCTGAATGATTTCTTGAACGTTCTCTCTGGGACCCATATTTGAAATGAGTTTGCCTACCAGACTGCTAGTTACATAATTGCTTGGACACCCAAAACAAGGAGAAAGGTTTTGAAATGGTTGTAGCTCAGGGAGCCTTGGCCATCGCCTTGAGGAGACGGAGAGCAGGGGGCAGAGTCTCGAATTCTGCCTACAATGCTTCACACTCCTGTTATCCACAACAGCTTTGGGAAACGCCAGCCCTAGGCTTCAGATAGCACAGTGAGCTAGGGGAGGTGTGGCGGGCTGCACGGAGTTAGCCAGAAGCCTTTGAGCTCACACCTAGAGAGCTGCAAACACTCGGGGTCCCTGTCCTGGAGCGGGAGTGGACTGGGGATGGGCAAGGGAAGGCAAATAAATGGCAATGGCTGGGAAGGAGCTGAAGCTGACCTGCTGAACAGGAAGCTGGGATTGCAAGCCAAGCCCAGAGCCCTGCTCTAGCCTTCCAGGGTTAGTGACCTTTGCTTTTGGTCCTGGGTCTTGAACCCAGGACTTTGTGCATGGGAGGCAAGTACTCTACCACTATGCTATATATAGCCCTAGCCTTTTTGTTGTTATTTTGAGATAAGATCTTGCTTTCTAGCCAAAGATGGCCTCAATCTTTAAAAAACATTTTTATTCTCTCTCTCTCTCTCCCTCTCTCTCTCTCTCTCTCTCTCCCTCTCTTTGTGTGTGTGTGTGTGTGTGTGTGTGTGTGTGTATGTGTGTGTGTGAGCTACAGTTATAGGAGGTCGTAAGTTGCCATGTGGGTCCTGAGAACTCAACCCCTGTTCCCTGTAATAGTAGCAAGTGCTCTTAACCACTGAGGTATTTTTCTAGACTTGGGCTTCAAACCTTTGTTCCTGGCACAAGACATAGCCTGGAACTCGTGCAGGCATCGGTGGTCTTGAACTCACAGGGGTCAGTCTGCCTCTGCCTGTGTGCGCCACCGCGCCCAGCTTGCCTTTGGTCTTCTCTCCCCTACTTTCTGCTTGCTGAGATTGCAGGTGTGCTAACATAGGCTCTGCAGACTAACCCAGCGTGATGAGACCGAGGGTTCTTCCTTTGCACCAGGTTTATTCTAAGCACAGGCATCGTGTAACTCAGTCACTCATCCCTCACGGTATATACAGAAGATGGGTATAAATTACCAGCCCCATTCAGATGAGGAAGCTGAGGTCCAGAACCATGCAGCAGTAAATGTTACAGCCAGGGTTTGAATGCAGATCCAAGGTACATGCTTTTTCTTCCCTGTTCCATACAGACTCCTAGAGGTGGGCCCTGCTGCTTGGCTCCAAAGATGTTGCATGGGAACAAGAACTTAGTAACTACCTCTTAAGTGGGGAATAACAGGCTCAGTGGAAAAAAACAAGTCTAGCTGGGTGGTGGTGGCATACGTCTTTAATCCCAGCACTCGGGAGGCGGAGGCAGGCGGATCTCTGTGAGTTCAAGGCAAGCCTGGTCTACAAGAGCTAGTTCCAGGACAGCCTCCAAAGCCACAGAGAAATCCTGCCTTGAAAAACAAAAACAAACAAAAAAAACAAACAAAAAACAAAAAACAAAAGAAAAGAAAAGAAAAAAACAAAACAAGTCTAAGGTCACACAGCACAGCACTACTGGGCAGGATGAGGAAAAAACCAAATTTGTAAACCTGAACCTCAAGAGGCTAAATCTGGATGGTCGGTCACAAGTTCAAACCCAGCCTGGGTGAGACGCTGTCTCAACAAGGATGGATGAAGCAGCTCAGTAGATAAAGGCACTTACTACCTCCATCTTGAGTGTAATTTAGGACCCCTGCAGTGGAAGGAGGGAACCAGCTCCTGAAAGTTGTCCTCTGACCACACATGCACAACATATTTGCCCCCAATAAATACATAATAAATGTAATTTTAAAAAGAGTCCTGTGATACCTGTTACATAACTGGAAAGCATATGTCATTTCCTAGGGCACGTGTGGGTAAGGATGTGTTTGTGTGAGAGACAAAAACAAAGAAGGAAGATGATAGTCAGGCATGCCTGTATGTGCATACATGTATACATGTACATGTCTGTATGTGCACACATGTACACATGCTCATGTGCATGCCTGTATGTGCACACATGTATACATGCATATGTGCATGCCTGTATGTGCACACATGTACACACGCACATGCGTGTGCCTGTGCACATGTGTACACATACACATGTGCATGCCTGTATGTGCACACGTGTACACATGTACATGTGTGCCTGTATGTGGACACATGTACACATGCACATGTGTGTGCCTGTATGTGCACACATGTACACATGCTCATGTGCGTGCCTGTATGTGCACACATGTACACATGCACATGTGCGTGCCTGTATGTGGACACATGTACACATGCACATGTGCATGCCTGTATGTGCACACATGTACACATGCTCATGTGTGTGCCTGTATGTGCACACATGTACACATGCTCATGTGCGTGACTACTGGTGGACTTGCCTTGGTCCGGCACCTTCCACACTCCTTCTTTAGGTCACATAAGGAAATCCCTCTCTTCATACCACATTCTCATGTTTTCTTTCTTCTGATTAGATTTATTTATTGATATATTCATGTGCACAGGTGACGGCATGTATGTGGAAGTCTGAGGCCAGCTTACAGGAGCTGGCTTTGCCTTCCATTCTGTAGGTCCTGGGAATCGACCTCAGGTCGTCATGGCAGTAAGAGCTTTTGCCATCTCATAGCTCCATACCATGCTTTCCTTTGGACCGCAATCTGTGCCCAAGGAGTCCCTCAGATGGGCAGCAACTTTTGTTCCTGGAAAAAGTGCCCTGAGAAACCACACTATAGCTCTTCCCAGGGCTATGTGGCTGCTTCCTAGAGTTGGGTCCACCCTGCCACAGACACCAGACACCCACGGGGGCTTTCTGGGGAAATCTGTTCCTTCAGCCTCCTGGGAACCTGGGTGTGGCTGTCTCTGGCTGTGACTTTACGGAAGCAGCGCCATAGATTTGGGCAAACTCTGGTGTGTGAGAAATGTCAGCCCTGTGACTTTGCTGTCACACCCTGATCATGTGACAAGGACCCATGCTTGTGACTTTAGGTAGTGAGGAGTCCCTGGAAGGTCACTTAGGCAGGGATTGACTTTTCCAAGGCCTGCTCTGGGTCTAGAAGCCCTTATGAATGTGAGCTCATTTGTATTCTCCCAACAACAATGCGGCATTTTCCCAGGATAAAATGGTTGCTGAGAACAACACGGGGCATGATTGGAGACCCAGGACCAGGCTCTACCACTGTTAAGGACTTTAATCTCCGGAACCTCTCTAAGCCCGAGTCCTTTCTGTAGAGCAGTGCAGCACATGAAATTATACAAGCTGATCAGTGCAAACTTTCAGCTCCGTCTGAATGATTATTTTGTGTTGTTGTGTCCTTCACCTGCCCTGGCACCCTGGCTCACCCCCTCCTCCCTGGCTGTCCCCACAGATCATTACTGGGACTTCCCCACACACCACGTCCACAGCGAGTTCGAGAGCTTCCCTGAGAACCACTTCACGGAGCTGCAGAGTGTGCAGGCCCCGCAGCTGCAGCAGCTCTACCGGCACATGGAGCTGGAGCAGATGCACGTCCTCGACACCTCCATGCCAACGCCCCACGCCAGCCTCAGCCACCAGGTGCGTGCTGCTGGCTGTCCTCTGTCCCCAGGACCTCCAGGCCTGCGGTGAGGCATGGAAGCTTCACAGGAAGCTGACACAGGCTCTTACTCAACGTGGCTTCCTGCTCCACAGAACCAACGGCAGCTGGTACCCCAACGGCTCTGCTGACCTCCCGATTGACCTTATGAACCCACACCTTTATCTCACAGAGGATGGACAGACCCCATGGGACCCCCAGTCCCCAGCCGTCCTCTCCTACCCATTCCTGTTTGCGGGCCCTTAGGGTCCCACTGACCACAGTCCCTGTTAACTCTCTTCATGAAGCCAGCATCTGAGTCACTGAATGCTGGCCTCTACTGACCTCCGGGGTCCTCATTAATCTTCATTACTGCTCCAGGGACCCTAACCCCATCCAGTGACCCTGCCACCCCTCACTGACTTCTACCTCCCTTTCATTGATTCGTCACTCACTTCCTTATAACCAACTCACTGCTTCCCAGCGTCCCTCCATTCCTAGTCCACCATGAGGCCACATGTCCCCTTGGCATGCGTGAGAATAAAGCGTACCTGTACCTGCTCTAAACCAAAGGCTGCGGTGGGAAGGCCGGTAGGCTCAATAGCTAACAACCCGCTGCATCATGACCTGCATCCCTCAGTTTTGGTCCAGAGGAGTCTTCTCAGTCTTCCTGCCCCTGCAGGCCACGCCCCAGCACTCCCCTCACTCAGCCCACCCCCCCTGCAGCTTCCCTTCCTGACTTGTAACCCTTCCTTCCCTTTGCAGGTTTCCTACATGTCCCGGTCGTGCTTCCCCTACCAGTCCTTGTCCCCGCCCCACCAGCAGAGCTCAGATGAGGAGGAGGGCGAGAGGCAGAGTCCCCCATTGGAGGTGTCTGATGGAGAGGCTGATGGCTTGGAGCCTGGACCCGGTCTTCTGCATGGGGAGACAGGTAGGGTGCAGCCCCTGAGCCAGCTGGTCCTGGCTGCATTTACAACCCTGGCATATCCCTAGCTAAGGCCACCCAGCCGAGGAGCCATGTTTCAGCGCTGTGTGTGTGTGTGTGTGTGTGTGTGTGTGTGTGTGTGTGTTGTTGCGGATGATTCTCTTCTGCACAGGTCTCTAAGTCTGTGTTGGGAGTGAACAGGCATCTCCAAAGTGTGAGGGTCTGCGTGTGTACAGTATTATGTGAGTGTGTGAATGGAGACTGTGTGTGTATGTGAAGGCCTGAGTGTGTACGGGTCTGTGAGTGTGGGGCTTGTGAGCATGTGAAGGCCTATGATTGTGTGAGGGCCCGTGGATATGTGTAAGGTTCTGCGAGTGTGTGTGGGCCTGTGAGTGTGTGATGGATTGTGAGTTTGTGAGGTCTGGAGCACGCGAGGGCTTGTGAGTGAGAGGCATTTTGTGTGAGTGTGAGTGTGTGAGTGCCTATATGTGAGGGCCTCTGCATAGGCATGTGGATATGGGAGAGTAGATATAGATGTATGTATGTGTGGATACGTGTGACATGTAGATGCAGAGACACGTATACATAGAGAGGTGTGTAAGTGAGTGGGAGTCGGTCCGAGTGTGCTTGTTCCTACCGCGGTCAGGAGGAGCTGCTGGCAGGGTTCCTGGAAAGGCCTTGCGTCCGTCCACACCCCACCTGAGTGTCCCTCTCCCGCAGGCAGCAAGAAGAAGATTCGCCTCTACCAGTTCCTGCTGGACCTGCTGCGCAGCGGCGACATGAAGGACAGCATCTGGTGGGTGGACAAGGACAAGGGCACCTTCCAGTTCTCATCCAAGCACAAGGAGGCGCTGGCGCACCGCTGGGGCATCCAGAAGGGCAACCGCAAGAAGATGACCTACCAGAAGATGGCGCGCGCGCTGCGCAACTACGGCAAGACCGGCGAGGTGAAGAAAGTCAAGAAGAAGCTCACCTACCAGTTCAGCGGCGAGGTGCTGGGCCGCGGAAGCCTGGCCGAGCGGCGCCTCCCGCCCCACTGATCTCCCGCAGAGCCCGCCAGGCCCCCGGCCCCCGCCGGCCATAGCATTAACCCCTCGCCGGGCCCGGACACAGGGAGGACATTCCCAGGGCCAGGCAGGACTGGGGGCCCGGCCTCGCCCTCCCGCGCCTGGCCCGTCCCGCCTCGCTTCGCCTCCCACCAGGATTCTAGCCCGGCCCAAGGGCCACCTGGGCCTCGGACCCCACCAGAGGGTCAGCCTGGCTTAGTGGCCACGGTGCTTCCTTGGGAGTCTGGCGTCTTTGTATACTGATTGCTCTTTTTAAGGCTCTTCCTCTCCCCACCGCCCCCACCCATTAACTTCCCAAAGAGAAGTAAAATTATTCTCAGCTATTCTCCCAGCGCAGAGTCTCATTCAAGAGTTTGTGTGTGCCTGGTCCAGGGCGCACACCCTGTGCACAGATGTCTTTCTTCTCATTTGTGCAGAGGACATGTAGCCAAAGCTGGACTGGAGACATGGGGACCACAGACGCACTGAGGTTGTTCCTAGTGAAACAAGTCCCGGGGCTGTTAATCAGGAGCAGGGTCATACTGAAAGGCTCTCTGCAGCAGGGGGTTCAAGTCTCAGTGAAGCCGAATTCATGATCTCCTGAGTTAGAGGAGATAGCGGTGGGTAGACCACAGCAATAGCTCAGATGTTCTGATCGTATAGCACCTTTGAGGTGAGGGGCCCAGCAGCTCCCCATTTCTAGAACAGGAAACTGAGGTTCGCAGTAATTAAATAACTGGTTCAGTGTCACACAGCTGCGGAGTGGCCACACCGGGTCCATTCCAGGGCTGTCTATCCCTCCAGTGCATGCTGGAAGCTCCGCCTATCTGGAAGAGGAAATGCTTCAGTTACCGCCAAAGCTCCAGGCACCGTGCTGTATTCTGGTCGCTGTGTTTATGAGTCTAGCTTTTACTGATTAAACCACCTCTCTAGCTTAGCCACAAGACATTCTTCACAGGCTCCACAGGCAAACCCTTGGAGCCTCCTGCACAGCCTCTGCTTCAGAGTTTGCTCCCCCGGGCAGCACACAAGGGATGTCTGGGAACATCTTGCTTCATGCAGGTGGTGTAGGCATGGTGGCAGACAGGGAATGAGAAAATTTCCCAAAGCAGTCTGCACATCTCGGGAAACACACACCCCAGGGATGTGATTGTAGGGGGAAAGACCCCTGCACACCTCCTGGACCTGTGCATTCTTCGACTAGGGCTCCGTAGTCAGACTGCAGAGCCTCAAGAGAAGGCTATGGGATATGAGCTAAGGATAGCCCTGTGGTAGAGCAATGGGGTGTTTGTTCCTTCTTTCTTTCTTTCTTTCTTTCTTTCTTTCTTTCTTTCTTTCTTTCTTTCTTCCTTCCTTCCTTCCTTCCTTCCTTCCTTTCTTTCTTTCTTTCTTTCTTTCTTTTCTTTTTGCTCTTTTGTTTTTTTCAAGACAGGGTTTCTCTGTATAATATCCCTGGCTGTCCTGAAAATCTCTATGTAGACCAGGCTGGCTTCAAACTCACAGAGATCCACCTGCCTCTGCCTCCCAGGTTCTGGGATTAAAGGCGTGTGTCACCACCACCTGGCAGATGAGCAATGGGTTTTGTTGTTGGTTTGTTTGTTTGTTTGTTTTGAGACAGGGTTTCCCTGTAGCTTTGGAGCCTGTCCTGGAACCCTGTCTGTAGATCGGGCTGGCTTCAAACTCACAGAAATCCACCTGCCTCTTCCTCTGGAGCGCTGCCTGGTTGTTTTTTGTTTTTTATTATGTTCTAATTCATTTAGTGTGTGTGTGTGTGTGTGTGTGTGTGTGTGTGTGTGTGTGTGTGTGTGCACATACCACATCATGTATATGGAGGTCAGAAGACAACTTGCAGGGGTCAGTTCTCTCCTTCCCCCAAAGGATCCGAGGGATTGAACTCAGGTCACCTGGTTTGGCAACAGATACCTTTATCAACTTGAGTCATCTTCTTGGAGTCTCTCAAGCATCAGTCGTTTTGTTTTTTAATTTATTTAACTTTATTTTGTGTGCATTGGCTTGAGGGTGTCAGATCCCCTGGAACTGGAGTTATAGACAGTTGTGAGTTGCCATGTGAGTGCTGGGAATTGAACCTGAGTCCTCTGGAAGAACAGCCAGTGCTCTCAACCACTGAGCCATCTCTCCAGCTCCCAAGCATCAGTTTTTTAAAAACATGTTTAGATTTAAATATATATATATACACACACAACTGTTTTGCCTGCATTTATGTATGTGTACCATATGTGTTCCTGGTGCCTGCAGAGTTTGGAAGAGGTTGTCAGGTTCCCCTGCAGCTGGAGTTACAGATGGCTGTGAGTGAGGTCCCATGTGGGTGCTGGGAATGGAACCTGGATTCTCTGCAAGAGCAACAAGTGCTTTTAACCTCAGAGCCATCTCTCCAGCCCCACGCCAGTTCCCCGGAAGACTCAGGTAGGCATAGTGGTGCATGCCTGGAATAGCAGCACTTAGGAGGTTGAGGCAGGAGGATGGTCATGAGACCAACCTAGATTACATTAATAGCTTACACACACACACACACACACACACACACACACACACACACAAGAGCAGGCGGTATGGCTTTAAAGCGAAGCTGGGTGGAAATCATGGCTGGTGAGTTTCTATTACATAGAAAGCGCTTATGCATGGACCCCCTTGCTTGTGATGATACACAATCTACTCCCCTAGTGTTGTTTGATAGGGATCCCCATACTTTCCTTTTCTTCTCTGTAACACCTGATGAATCTGATGTGAATAAGGGTCCAGTCACCGGGCAAGAATGGTGGGAGTGGGGTGGGAAATGGGGAGATTCAGAATCTTCCGCCATCAGTCTTCGGTTAGTCCTTGTGCCGCCGGTGAGAGTTGGCTCTGCTTCTGCCTTGTACTTTGGAGCTCTTTTAGAGATTCCCATATGCTCACCTGCAGGCCTAGCACGTCCCTTGTGGTGACACTAGCTCCAGCTGTGTCTCCTCCGTGACTGACCCTAGAGTAAGTCCACCCTGGATCCCATGGTCCAAGGCCAGTCCCTGCCCCTTGTGCTGCAGCAATGTGTCTCGAGGCTCTGCAAGCCAAGAGAGCAGTGTCCTAGCCCGCGACACCTTCCCCCAGCACGTGTGTCCTTGACCCTCTAGCTGTGGGTGACACAGGCCAAGAGCTCATCTACAGGGTAGTTTTCTACTGGGTGGGTTCACAGACGGGGGTGGAGCTACCCCGGAGGTCCACAGAGGGTTGGAAGGGCGAAGCCATCCGATCGTGTTGGGGGAGGGGAGGGAAAGGCGGAGCCAGAGGACCAAGTGGCTCTATCTTCTCCATGGAGATACCTCAGCTGGATGGAATTTGTCTATATTTAGCAGGTGGCTGGCAGGAGGCAGATAAGCAGGGATGGGGAGGGGGCGGTTCTCATAAATAGTGAGAACACCGGGCACTGTTCAATCCTCCTTGGGCGGCCTTACCTGCTTGGTGCCTGGTGCGACCATTCTCAAGATGCCCGAGCCAGCGAAGAAAACAGGTAGCTCCTTGCACGGGTTTGGTTATGAACCCGGGGCGGTGGGTGAACATAGTTTGGGGGCAGGGCCCCCATGATGAGGATGAGGCCTCTAGGTCCAGGAAGGGACAGAATAGTCTTCTTGGGTCTCAGCTTCTTTCCCCATCCCTCCCATGCCGGGGCCACTGAGAGGTGACTTCCCTATGTTAGGAAGGACCCAGGTCAACAACCCATTCTATCTTGACCCATTTCTTCTCCAGCCAGGGTCCTCGATCAGGGAACCTAAATTTAAGCTGCCACGGAGCTGGCTCACTGAGCTTCTCAGCACCCTCTGGTCTCAGTTTCCAAATGTACAGTGTAGTGGGGTGAGGGGGCGATCCTTTCCAGCATGGTCTGCCACATGAACCCTAGGTACGTGCGCCTGACTCCAGATGTAGGGGGACATTTCCTCTTCTCTGAAAAGAACAGGCTAAGAACAGAGAAACTGTAGCCCGGTGCCTGGCCAGGCCTGCGCCCTTGCAGAGGTCACTGGGGGCAGGGATCCAACCCCCAACCCCCAGCCCCCTGCTGCTCCCAGGCAAGCATTATCTCAGTTGCTCATTCTTAGTCTGAAGTCCTCAGAGGACAAATTTAGCCATATTCCAAGTAGGCAGAGTGCAGGGGAGGGGAGTGGGGGGTGGAGGTGTCTGCCAAGGGCCCCATGGTGGGAGAGGGGGATGGGCTTTCCACCGGTGTTCCCGGACGGGAGGGAGAGGGGATCCAAGGTAGGAATGTCCTGTGTGGTTAGGGCTATAGACTCGGCTTTAACCTCCCCTCACCTGAGAAGTAGCTGTGGTTGCACCTACTCTGCAGAGTCGTCGGGGCATTACTGAGAGGCTCAGAGTGCTCTTACCACAGTCTTTTTGAGGAAGGGTGTCAGGGATGGGGTGCCAGGGAGCCCAGCCCCCTCAGTCTCCACCCGGCTCTTCAGTGTCAGCCTTCAACAAGAAGCCACGGTCGGTGGAGGTGACCGCGGGCGCTGCTGCCGTGTTCGAGGCCGAGACAGAGCGTGCAGGCGTGAAGGTGCGGTGGCAGCGTGACGGCGGTGACATCAGTGCCAGCGACAAGTATAGTTTGGCAGCCGAGGGCAAGCGGCACACGCTGACGGTGCGAGGTGTGGGTCCTGCCGACCAGGGTTCCTATGCGGTCATCGCCGGCTCCTCCAAGGTCAAGTTTGACCTCAAGGTCACAGAGGCAGGTAGGAGCTTGCTGACCGCTCCCCAGGGCTGGGACCTTAGCCGTAGCCCTGAGCAGGGAGTGACTCTGGCTGCTCGCCTTTCTGCCCTGGCTATTCTGTAAGCTGAAAATGCCCATCATTCCCCTCTTCTGCACCGAGATCTCTATGGCTTAGTGGTGGCTGCGGCCCTTTCTGAACCATGGGGGTGGGAAAACGTAAGGGCGACCTGGGAAGAGCTTTCTCTTGTAGCAGACCCACGGTGGTGTCACACCCAGACAACGACTTTGATAGCTATGTGCGTTGGCGGGGAACCCTAAGAGCCTGGTGGTGGGGTGGGTGCTGGGTCAAGGCCAGAGTCTGGAAGAGGGCAGCAGATGGAGCTCAGAGCTGTTCAGAGCAGAAATCTGGACATGGACCAGGTGGGGTGTGGGGGTGAGAGGAGGAGATGCAGGCAGTGTCTCTTCTCGGTGCGAGCCCAGTGGCTGAGAGCATCTGGGACAGCGCCTCACAAGTGAGATGCATCTTAGGCACCGTGGGACATAGGTCTGATGTCCGAGAGAGGGTGTGTGTGGGGTCCCTGGTTAGAAACCATGCCACACCCCCACCTCAGCCCCTCCGGAGAAGGCTGAGCTTGCAGTTGCTCCCACCCC